CTTACTCATGTTCCAAATTCAGACTAGATTCTTAGGGTGTTGACAGAGCACTATATAGAAGGTATGAAGGAGTTGCACTGTATCTTTGTGGATTTAAAGAAAGCATGAGAGGAACCATCTCCATGAGGAAGTCAGGGGTATTCTTGGGTTGAGGTCATTACTCTCTGCAGGCCAATCAAGTTCTACCACACCAAACTTGGTTAACCATGTCTTGGAACAGGAAGGGGAAAATCCCCAAATCTCCAAAATATCTCGGTATGCAGAAGCATGAGGAGTTTCTTTCACTGGAACAATGGGTCTGAGTTTTAAAAATATTAAAATTAAAATAAAATTCCAATGGTCTCTGACATAAAGCTGCATTTTTTTAAATTTATTTTAAAGATTTGCTAAATGTGCAATAACATAAAGGTTTTAAAAAGCTTCTTATGAAGTTTCTTCTACCACCATGTTTGCTGTTTGCGGACTTCTGTCAAGTGTAATAGGTTAATAAATAACCAATCACCGCCGCCATTTCCTCTTACATCACGTCTAAATGGCACGAAGTGAATCACTGAAGCCTTCAAATTAAATGTCAACGAGGTTGGAAAAACATTGAGCACTTAACATCATTGTACAGTTATAGGTCATTTTAAAACATTATGTCATTACAAATTAAGCTGTTTGGTTTTAAGCCTGCTTACGTCCTTTCGGGTTGAATTTCTAACGCAATATTGTAAACATGCTTTTATTTTGAAGACCATCACCGGAAGAGTATTATCCGCGTTTATCGCTTTTTGCTTTACTTGTGCCCAGCGCTCTGAGCGGTGTCGACTCGACAGATTTGAGTCTGAACAGGACGAAGCGGACAGCAGGTGAGCACTTTACCTATTGTAAAGCGTAAACACGTTGACGGTTATTCGTCTTTTCCCACTGTCTTTAACTTGTTTTTACTAAAAATGCACTTAATGCCCGCACAAACCGGTGTTTTTACTTAGCCCACCCTGAACGTTGGTCGTAACCGTAGTTTAATCTAAATGAAATAAAAGTTAGTGGATGCCGTAATAAAATATCACACAAACCTTAACTTTGGTAGTCATATAGGTAGCACTGAGAATCAAGGATAACTAAATTACGTTAAAATCTAAATAAAAGTATCAGTCTTTTCATTTTCTCTGAGCTGCATGTGCACTTAAGACGTGCGGCTTTTGCAGAGGCAGCCTGTCTTTCCTGCAGCACCGGTTTATCCTAACGATTTGTTAAATCAGTGCACAAGTGTTGCGAAAGTAGAAACTCGTTTTGAAAATGGAGTACATCACAGCGGATCTGTAGAGATTCCCCATTTGCCCTTCACAATAATGGAAGAAGTGCCTCCAGAAAGGTGTGGACACACAAACACTGGATTAAACTGATTAAATCACAACAGCATGCTGCAGGGAGAAGAGGCAAAATATTCACTTGTGTTTCATGAAATAAAAAACAAGTGAGAAATAATAGTCTTCATTTTAGGAATTTGTAAATAAGTGTGAAACATGTAAGCGTTTACTCTAAGCATAAGTCACTGTGGGTCGGGCTACTGATGCTGTCTTATATGTGCTAAAAGGGGAAAACGAGGATCCACCTCAAGTAATCAGCTGCAGTACATGCCCAGCTAATAAATTCATGCATATTACAAGTCAATACCTACAAAGATAACAGGCTAATTCTGTCATCTACTTACTTACTAGTAGTAATACTTTCTTTTAATTATGTTAAAAACCTAAATACACCCCATGACTTTTTTTTTCTTTTTTGGGGGGGGTTTGCAGTTTCTCTGATTTCTGCATGGTCTCACCTTTAGGTGAATTTGCTGCCAGATCCTGCCCAAGAAAAACTGTTGTTGTTTTTTTTAACACACACCTGAATGCTCCAAACCAGCAAAAATCCCCTGGTTTTACAGGGGTGCTCTCACTTACTGATTAAGCACATTTGATTAGCAGTACCTGGCTACTACTTACCCTTTTCATTACTATGGAAGTCAGACCATAGTAGCACCCTGCTGGACCAGCTGGGTGTTAAACGGTGAACACACACTGAGCCCGTGTTTGACCCTAAATATTTTATTTATTTTCATTTCTGTTTTTGGACTAAAATGTCTGTCTGTTGAATAGGGGAAACACTGTCTGTCTTCGGTTATGCTCATTATTTGTTAGGCTGACTTGTCTTTTTATACATCTCACTTAATGACAATATTAATACTAATAAATATTAATGTCTTTTCCCTAGAGAGATGTGGTGGGTGCTGTGGGTGCTCGCCATCTTGCTGGCTCTCTTCTGCATTGTGGATGTGTGGTACTTCCTGCGGGCCGCAGCGGTCATCCTGCGGGCCTGGTTTCAGCCTCCAGTCTGGGACATCACTGCGGAGCAGGTCCTAACAGGCCGGGTCACTCCCCATGACATCGACATGTGCCACATGAACAATGCTCGGTACCTCCGGGAATGTGACTTTGCTCGCTTCTCTCTCTACATGCGTAACGGAGTGTTTAAGGCTGTGCGGACCCTCAAGGCTTCAATGGTTGTGGGGGCCACAACCATTCGTTATCGCAGGGCTCTGTGTATCGGAGAGGGTTATGAGCTGCGCAGTCGCATCGTCACTTGGGACGACAAAGCCTTTTTCCTTGAGCAGAGATTCGTGTCGACAAAAGATGGCTTGGTGTGTGCCGTGATGTACTGCAAGCAGAGTGTCATACGCAGCAGCCCGGACAAGATTCTGCAGCACCTGTGCAAAAGAAAGGTAAGGGAGGAAACCACACAGATGCATGAGTTACACACGCTGTCCCGCTGAATAACATTGAGCTTGTGTTTTGCACGCTGCAGGTGGAGTGCCCTGAGTTTCCAGAGGATCTTCAGCACTGGGTCAACTTCATCTCTGCCAGCAGCCAGGCCCTCAGGGCTGAGATCGGCCTGGAGGAGAAGAACAAATAAAACCTTTCATGGGCAGATATTAAAAGTGGCGTCTTGTGAGTCAGCCTGTTTACAAGCCCAGGAGGAAAGTCTTCTCCTATTCAGAATCTCTTCACTTAAACACACTTGTGCCTGCACTTTGTACAACAAGCTTTATTTAAATTCCAACATTTGCAGATATGAAACACTTGATAACAGCACACTACATTATTCTGAGAGGTTGACAGTTATGGTAAAAATAATAATAATAAAATATAAGTAATACAGTTTTATAAGGTGTGTTATGATGTGGTGTGACAGCAATAAAACGAATTCAGGAAATTGGTTTGAAGTTTTTACTATAACCAAATGGGAAGAGATTAAACTACTTTATATGAGAGTGTGTGTGTTGCAGTGTGAACAGGTGTAGCAGGGAATGACATCATGCTTGAGTGATGGGATGATCACACAGTTTACATGTTTGCATGACCAGAACCGCCAGGACACATCAGCCTTTGTAACATCCACAGATTTCATGCAAAACTTAAAAAGTAAGCTGAAAATTCAGTCAGAACGACTGTGTCATGAATGCTGCCTGGACACTGAGTCATAAAGCATGTCACAAACACTTCTCATGCACACGGCTGACTGGCGGTTACAAGTGAGAACAGATTCAATACCAGTTTTTCTTGATGTAAAAAATAAGACCACAATAAATCAATCCAAAACTCTTCTCACTTTTCATGTCACCTGAAACCTGTACAATTCTTCCGTCAGTTCACCCCCACTTCAGGGGGCTGGAGCCTATCTACCATAGGGCAAGAGGTGCGGTACACCCTGGACAGGTCGCCAGTCTGTCGCAGAGTTAACGCCAAGAGTCAGACAACCTTTTAAACCTATGAGCCATTTAGAATCACCAGTTAACCACCACAACTGCATGTCTTTGGACTGTGGGAGGAAATCTGAGTACTCTGAGACAACCCATGGAGAAAACCTAATACTTTGTTGAAGCAAATTTTGAGTTAATACCATTGAATGTCACAAAAACCTGGCATTTTAACAGGGCTGTGTACACTTTTTATGTCCACTGTAAACTAGAATTGGTTCAGAGGTTTGTAACAGTGGGGGAAAAAGTACCCGGAAAAGAATACACTATCTACACTATTCATAAAAGTAGATAAAGTCAATCCAGTACATTGTTACTCTGTAACTAAGGTGCCACGTGTAGACTAAGTATCATTATTGGCCATAAGCCTTACGTATTTTACACTTTTACAGCCTATCCCTTTTTGTCCTGTCCATCCCCTCTCTCCAACTGGTAACAGCAGATGGCTGCCCCTCACTGAGCCTGGTTCTGTTGGTGGTTTTTCCTTCCCACTGTCACCAAGTGCTTGCTCATAGGAAGTCATCTGATTGTTAGGTTTTCTCTGAATTATTGTAGGATTTTTACCTTACAATAAAAAGTGTCCCAACAAAGAAGCAAAGCTACAAACTATGAGTGAAGAAAAATATTCACTGCAATAAAAATAATTTCAAAACATAGTAATTGAGATGTTGTTGTCTACTGACAAAACAAACTAAACTAAAAGAAATATTTCTATAGTCTTGCCTTTTGAGGATTTGATACATACATTTGTTGAGACTTGGAATGGCCTTATGAGTCAAATTCCTCCACAAAGTGCTGTGTTGTAATTACTATTCTGAATCTCTGAAATCTACCTGACAAATACCCTTCATATTATATTAATAAGATGCAAATTCAACTGAAAGGAGAAAGCTGTCTAGGAGCGGAAACTAATTAGAACATTAAAAAAAAAAAAACTAACTCTCGTACCATAAAATATAATAAAATAGTTTTATTATTATTAATATGTTTTTATTTATTGGCAGTGCTATGTTTAAAAAGCACTATTTTGTCTTATACAAAGTAAAGAGTAACTTCTGGTGAATGAAAGGGCGCACGGAACGACCTTACATACCGTCTCTGTGTTAACCAAGGTTCAAATGAACAAATTAAGATATAAAACAAATAAGTAACTAAATCACGTGTAACTGTGGCATCGCCAATCCCTGGAAAACGCGAAAACGTTTTCGTGTAACCATGCCGACAGGTCAACCAATAAGGCTTCTTGTCGTCATACACCCGGAAATTATGTTCATTGATTCTACCGGTTTCTTCAAGTTGCACCGCTTTCCATGATAGCACTTTCTTCAGGACGCGCAGTGAGTTTCACGGGCATTAAAAGATACTTCTGCCGTCTGTATGGTTGACGCTTAATGTCTGATATGGTGAACTGAAGTGTGGCGGCTGTGCGAGGAGGCTGTGCTCGCTTTAATTCCGAGGGCACCGGCTGCTGGCAGCTAGCGGCTAAGCTAACAGATTTGGCTTTGACAGCAATCTGCAGGCCGTTCATTTTAAAGGAGAAGCGTTAGCTTTACAATCCCCTCAAGGTTGAATCGATTGCTTGTGAAAATATGCTGCTTCTGTATTTTTAGCCAGGTTAATTTCAAGTCAGTGTAAGGAGGGGAACACTGATCTCTTCCCCCCCCCACATCTGCACTGTCATTGATGAGGTCAAAGATGCATTTATTTTAATCCTGAAGGCAATCATCAATTTAGACTCTTTAAAAAAAATGCTTATTTTTTTTAATTTAAAAAAAGAAGATAAAAGATAATGACTGTAACATTGCAAATAAACACGTTCTTTTCTAAAGACTAAGGTTTTCATTTTTGATGCTAATATTTGAACTATTTCTCCAGAGAGATGTTGCTGTTGGCGTTGGGTGCCCTCCTCCTGCTCTTCTGCAGCCTGGATGTTTGGTACTTCCTGCGAGGGGCCCAGGTGTTCATCCAGGCATGGTTCCAGCCCAGGATACGGGACATTTTAGCCGAGCAGAGCATCGAAGGCATGGTCCTTCCACATGATTTGGACTACTTGGGCCACATGAACAACTCTCGGTATCTGAGGGAGTGTGACTTTGCACGCTTTCACCATTACATGAGAAACGGACTGTTCATGGCCTCACGCAAACTGGGGGCGAAATTGGTGGTAGGGGCGTCTACCATCCGGTACCGCCGCTCCTTGGTCTTCCGTGAGGCTTTTGAGATTCGGACCAAAGTTTTGGGCTGGGACGAGAAAGCCTTTTACTTGGAGCAGCGTTTTGTATCCAAGAAAGATGGCTTCGTCTCTGCGATCATGCTCTGTAGGCAGAATGTGGTGCACTGCAGCCCCGAAACCATCATTGAATTTATCTGCAAAAAGAAGGTAAGGGAAGTGGTGGCGTCATCCTCAAAGTGCTTCTGTTCAGGAGTAGAATCCACAAAATCATCACATTTTAGTATCACAAAACTATGAGTATTATTGGCTGATTAATCAATTTTATTCATCTAACACTTTGTCCGCTTATAGATCGAGTGCCCAGAGTTTCCGGAGGACCTCAAACACTGGATGAACTTCATTGCGGCCAGCAGCCAAGCCCTGAGAGCAGAGAGTGGACTAGAGGGAAAGAACAAGTGAAGCCACACCATGACGCTGCGTATCATGAGTGTCGACACATTTCATATCATATATAGCATTGCACGCACATATACATGCACACAAACACTTAAACATTGTAGAGTGTTTTAGTTGACTTCCAGAAGTATCTCTGTTTTGAATAAATCCTACCTGCTGTGTATTTTTGTAAGACGTGAAGTTCTTTGACCCGAGGGGAGCTGAACATGAAAACTTGAACTGTAAGGTTTCAAATGCTCTGTATGTAAATGGATCACAATGGCGTTTGTAGCTTTACCCTTGCAGCTTATTCAGTAGTTGACTGTAAGTAGACCAGCATTACACATCTTCATTCTCATTCAGCAAAATCCTCTAACCTCAGATAAGCATGTAGAACAAAATGTAATCTTCCACTGACGTCAATGCATGTTTTGAAACAACCAGAATATTTTTGTGCCTGTTTCTAGTAGTTTAGAACGCATTATAACTTTTCACCAAAAAAAAGACATGGGTGCAATGAAATACTTGAATGGATATAATGAACATGTGCTGACGATTGTTTTAATTTCCCTATCAGTATTTTGCACAAAGTTATTATTAACCTAAGGGAGAAAACAAAAATTCTTATGAGGGATGAATATATCGGTGCAATGAAGAATTAAAATACCTGCTTTTAAAAGGACAGCCCCTCAATCAGGCCTGCGTGTCATTTTATGAGAGCGTGCTTATATTTTCGATTGACGGGTGTAATGCGCAAACATGAGGTTGCTGGCAACTTTTCAAAACCTGCAACGCACAATTACCAATGAATGTCTGAGTGATGTTTGAGTCCACTGAGGGGGTCATTTGAAAGATGTTCTCGTTAACGCATCGGAGTTTTTCCTTTGTGACCAAAGTAATGTACTGTTCTGTGTGAAGGAGATCCAATTTTATTTTTAAAGATGTCTAATCTGTTTTATTTATGTTGTTGATGCACTGATCACCAGATTCTTTTTAGTTTGAAGTTATACATTCTCTGTTTAAGTTCCAACTATTTATGATTGATTGAAATGTATCAAAATTTATTTATTGTGTTTGTTAACATGTAAGTGCATTTTTTTTCAATTAAAAATGCTCTGGAAACTGTTTGGGTCACTGTTTTTGTCTTTGTGAGCAAAGTACACATGCAGTTTGGTTTGTAGAACTTCACGGGACATTTTTACAGCTAATGTACTTAATTTATCTTAAACAGCCTTTAGGTGATCATTTAACAGTTAACGTTTGGCATGTAAATCTAAAATTTCTGACTTTGAGTTTTTCCATTGTTGTTCAGAGCTAGAAAAGCAGCATTTGCAACTTTCAAAAACCATAAGTACAGGGCTTTTATAGTTATATGTTTAGATGCTGTAGCTTTATGCATTTAATTTTTCCATCACCAAATTAATCTTGTTTTTACAGGAAAATGTGCTTTTTACAGTTTTAGTTACTACTACTACTATTTGTAGATAACGAGTCCAGATTAAAAATGTGATCGTCAAAGTAATGATATCCATTCAAAATCCTTCAACGTGAAAGTGCCAACAATTGTGACATTTTAATCCATTTAGAAAAGTCCCCCCATCAGTGACCAAGAGCCCAAGGATGTACAGGCACAGGTGTAATTTCCAAAATGTGGGTTTCATTATACTCCAGAAAAGACAAAAATAATGTCAGAAATACACAATCACCTTCACATTGTTGCCATTTCTTCCACACTCAACTCTTTTCATTTCATTGTATAGCAATGTTTGTAATTAGAATATGTTTCTGACCTTGCTTTCAGGTTTTCAATGTAAATTTCAAAGCAGTCAACAATACAGGCACATCTACAAAGAACATCTCAATATCATGGGCATTGACAGCTGTGTCAAGTGTACAGGGAAACTGAGATTTTAAACATGCAACAAACGATGGAAGATTCATTGTCACTGTAAAATCTAATTCGTTCCCAGAACAGTATTTATTGTTCAGTCACAAGAGCTGTCTCTAGTTTAAACAACACATTTGCTTTGCATTCAAACTCAGAAGTCTGAATGCAATCTCCCCCTCCACACCAGTGTTCTCAGGCACTGGTACATGGTTAGTGTCAGACATGTCACTGTCCTAAAACAGCACAGCCCACATTCGAAATGATGTATATGTAGACCAGTGATGGGAATTAGGGGTAACGGCGGAATTAGGGGAATTGGTAACGGTTACTTGTAATGGCGTTACCCCATACAAGTAACGGCGTTACTTTTTTCAGTAACGAGTAATATATATACCAGTTTTTAAATTGTGTTGATAGGCCACGTAAAACCAGAGTCATGATAAACAATATATACGCGGCGTTTTTTCCTGAATAGTTTTGCCACGTTTACTGTCTAAGGACAGCGCTAGCAAGCACTCTGCTTATGATTCGTGTTGGTGGAAAAATGCACCATGTCGACCAATCGAAAAATGATATGGCGACATGACATTTGGTTGTTTAGGAAGAGGGTGAAGTTTTAGGAGTGATGGCTAGAGAGAGCGAGAGAGTAGAAAAAGAGAGAGAGGGAGTTTTTAGAGATTTGTGACGTTTAGCGCATTTGTATGGCGTTATTTTTGTGCCACTATTCTGAGCGCACGTAAAAACAAGTTTGCAGGTGCAAGTGTTGTATTTTGAGGAGAAATTTATTTTGAGCGACGAAAAGCTGAATTTGAGTGAACAAAATTCATTCCTGCGTGCAAAAGTCAAATTCCTCCTCCTGAGGTCACACACACACACAATAGCAGCCCTTCTCGCTCAGTTTTTGCATTTGCGCTTGCTCAAAATGTGTTGCTCACGCTCAACATTTCTGCCCGTGCGCGCTCAACTCTTTCTCTACACCGTTATAGTTGTGCCACAAATAAAGTTTAAAAAAAAAAAAAGTTGTGCCACAAAACCAGCCAATCACAGACTTGGATGCAAAAACATCTGATTGGCTGTTCTGGTCTCCAAGCCGTTCGAAATGACGAAATGCAATATCCCAGAATCCATTTCGTCCAAAATTCAAACGAGGCAGTGGCGGAGGAACACAGAGTGGCAGAGTTTGAAATATTACTCTTTCTGGGGCACAAAATAAACTTATAAGATATTTTCATGCGAGAATGGTGCTGTGTAAACTTCAAATATCTGCTCGATTCATCAAGACATCACATATTTGCATAAGTGCGCTAACATTTTTGGAGATGATAATAGCATGTATTTCCATATATACAAAGGCACTGGAATCCCAGATAAAAACATGAACATTGTTTTCTTTTCTTTTCTTTACTGAAAATGAAGAAAAAGAATATTAGATCATTCACAAAAATAGCAGTGTCTTCATTTTCATTCACAAACTGGAATTTTTATAGTATAAAATGAAAATGAAATGAGGATTTGGCTTTTTCCTTTAGGCACTGAACTAATATTAAGTTGTATATCCGTATATACTGATCTACAACTAACATTTTAGACTTGCCTCCACGCTGACTGGACCACATTCCACAGATCTTCTGCATTCTTGGGTTTTGCTTTAAGAACAGAATTTTTGAGGTCACACCACTAATTCTCAATCGGATTGAGGTCTGGGGATTGGGCTGGCCACTTCATGATATCAATCTGTTTTTGTCTGGAACCAGGATATTGCCCGCTTGCTGGTGTGTTTGGGGTGTTTTCCTGCTGAAACACCCATTTTAAGGGTCAGCATAAGGCAACACGAGCTCTTCCAGTATTTTTAGGTACTGAAACTGGTCCATGGTGCCTGTTATGTGATAAATGGGCCCCACTCCAAAGTATGAGAAACAGCCCCAAACTATTATGCTTGCACCTCCATGTTTTACTTTCTTCAAAGTGTACTGTGGCTTGTATTCAGTGGCCTTTACGCCCAATAAGAACAATCTTACTCTCATCTGTCCACAGAATATCGCACCACTTCTCTTTAGGCCAGTCAATGTGTTCTTTGGCAAACTGTCACCTTTTCAATACATGTGTTTTTTTCAGCAGTGGTGCTTTATGAAGGTTTCTTCCTAATAGTTTGGCTTCACATAAGCATCTTCTGATTACTGAAGTTCTCACAAGTAAATGGAGATCTTTTTTTATTTCTCTGGAGCTCATCACTGGATGCTTCTTTGCCATTATTGTTATTCTATGATCTAGGCGGATGGTAGTATTCCTTTTTCTACCACGTGTTTCGGGTTTTCTTTCCCATTTCAAAGCATTTGAGATCTTTTTAGCTGAGCAGCCAATTATTTTCTGCACTTCTTTTTAAGTTTTCCTCTATCCAATCAACTTTCTGATCAAAGTTTTTTCTCCCTCGATGCAATGTCTGGAACGACCCATTTTACTCACTGAGCAAAGGCTAAAACCAGCAGGTACAACAGCTGCCTTCCTTCCTTAAATAGCCCAAAAAAAATCAGATTTTTTGGAACTTGGAACTGTTTAACCCTTTTCTTCTTTTTTCTATATCTTGTTGTGTATGATATATTTTTATTATATACTTATTAGATATTTTTTTAATTGATACAGAATTCAACAAGCCAAACTGTCTCTTTACAAAGTCCCGTATCATATCGCATTAAGAAAACCTCGCGTATGCTCAGAAGCTCACTCCAATGCAACCTTGACAAAGCTCAACAAACATCAGTAAACACGCAGACTGCGTGCAGTTATTCCCATAGTGTGCTAAGTCCCGAGTATAAACGCTATAAATGATACAGTTTAACCAAAAGTAACACGTCTGTGTCGAAAGTACAGATATTTGTTTAAAAATGTAGGGAGTACATGTAAAAAGTTATTAGAATTCAATTTAAGTAGCCTTACTTCCCCGTTATATAGACAGCGAATATAGACATCTAGACAGATTACAAATTAAATGCCACATATGCGAAGAGAGAGAGAAAGACGGGGGAAAAAAACAACAACTATAATAGGAGACGTGATTTATCTTAGATAACGATTTCAGTGGGTAGATGCTTTGGAATGTTATATTTTTTTTATGGTTTGTTTTCTCGAAGTAATTTTAAAGACTTTATATATAATTTAAATTCGTTTAAGAGAATAACCAAAATAACGTTACAACACAGTTTGCAAAATCGAATGAAATATTTGGTTTTTACCATTTCTGAACATCAAGCCAGAATGTCTGCAGTACGATAAACCTTATTTATGTTCGCCTCACTCCC